ATCAGCGTTGCTACTCTATACCACCTTTGAGGAATCATTGCTTCCATAATTCATTTTCTTCTGAATCGTCCACGGATAGAAAAACGACATATTACTGTTTTCTTACTGCCGATACATCGGTCATATTAACATTATTGTGATAAGTTTGCAACTTCAAAATATTTAATACCAGTTTTATTTGACATGAACAGGAAGCAGTGCCAATATTGATGGTGCAACAGAGATATCAGCGGGAAGTTTACTAGATGATAACCACTGGCACAATGTGCAATTTATTAGAAATAAACGAGAAATGACGCTCACCGTTGATAGACAAATTGTACGTGGTGTTACAGAGGGAGATTTTGAAAGACTAGATCTTGATAGACAGGTATGTAAATACCATAGGTATGTCACTGATGTCCAAAGTCACAGGTTGGGATGTACTGTAATGTAATGTAATGTTAAATTTTCATGTTCGCTAATTTTTTTTTTTTTGAATAAGAGTAATTTGTTCGCCGGGACAACATTTTGTAAAAGTCTAGGAATTCTACTACTATATTTGCAATTCTGCACTTCATAAAATTTGCAAAAATGTCTCCTATAATATACCTTTTGAATGCCAGATCCCCCCCCCCTCACCTTTCACAAAATAATTGTGAGTTCTCTATTTTGTCAAGAATTTTGATCACGAGTTAAACCACGAGTTAAACCACGAGTTAAGAGTTAGCCAGTTAAACATTACCGTATATCCATTTTTGTCAAAAAAAAGAAATGTTGCACAAAAAGCAATTGGAGAATTAATAGTTATAGTTGAAAATGTCTTTGTCTGCACACATTGTCATTTGATTTGCTTCGCTTGTTGTACATTCAATTTGTTTTATGATTACGTCAGTTCTTTGAGATCATGTAATTGTTACAAATGCTATAAACTTTATTCATAGGAGGTCATGAATTAAAGTACCCAGGATGTGTGACCTTTATGGGAGGTCATGTTAAGTACCAGGATGTGTGACCTTTATGAATACAGATTAATGTCTTGACATATCCACTTCTATTGATAGGTTTGCATGCATTTTCTTTGCATATTTATATTAATAAGGTAATTATCATATTAAACAATCATGTTCTTATTTCAGGTAACTTTTGGAGGTGTTGGTGATTTTGATGATCCTGGTGTGACTCTGGAACGAAATTACATTGGTTGCCTGGAAAACGTCTTTTTCAATCGGGTTAATGTTTTCCGTGGAATAGAGCTTGGATCATCTCAGTTCAGAAAGTATGGTACGGTAGAGTTCACTTGTCAAGATCAAGTTGTTGTACCAGTTACATTCCCAACATCAGAGTCATACATCAGATATCCAGGAAGAAGCTCAAATAACTTTACGTAAGTGCATTATATTAGCC